TCCCCCCCTATCTTCACTTTTTCTTCTCTACTTATCGTCATTGATGAGATCGAACCGTTTACTTTGATCACCAACCTCAACTGTTTCCTTACCTATATTACTACCACCATACATGGTCCCCCTAAATATTTTTCTTTTGCACTTGTACCCCCTTTCCTTTTTTTTTTCCTTCAAATGTTCAATATGGTGTTTGTATTTCATTCATCAAAAGCACAATCAATGTCACAGCTCATTACATCTCCTCTGAGATGAGTTTGAAGCAATTGCACCTTGGACAAGCATGTGATATGAGCTACTTTATTACTTAAAGTAATGTGTGAAAAGGACTTTGGTTTAACCTAAATGTAACTTTATTGATTTCACAAAATATAGGACCCACATATGACAAATTCTTAGCCACCTCAAGTAGGGTTTTCCTTTTTGATTCTCTTGAGTTTACCTAGTTTTTTATTTTTTATTTTTTTTTATGTAAAGTGTAAATTTTATTACTTAAAACATAGTAATACAAAGAAAAACAACAATATAAAGTAATATAAAAAATTCACCTAGTCTTATTGATCAGCTTAAAATTATAAATTGTTAAATGGATATAGTTGACTAATGTTTCAAGTTAGGTTTGGGGTGTTACTTGTAACAAGCATGTTGCACCCATCGAATGATAATAAAAAAAACCACATAGTTCATGCATGGATGAACATATATCAATATCAATCATATAAAAACTTAGCCAAATATTTTATTCATCAAGTAAAAAGAAAAGACTGAGCAACCCAAGCATAAGATGCACATTAATATATATTTTAGGTTAAATGCTAAATTTGGTCCCTCAACTTTAGTGAGTTGCACATTTTTGGTCCCTCAACAATTTTTTGCACTTTTTTTATCCTTAAACTTTAAGAAATGCACTCCATTAGTCCTTCTGTTAATTTCGACTGTTAACTCGCTTATGTGGCATTTTTTATTATTTTTTTGATGACATAGCAAAAACAAATTGAAAACATGTTGATGTGGATTTTTTTTTATGATGTGAATTTTTTTTTTCATGCCAACTTACATGATTACTATTTATATTTTTAAAAAAATAAAAAAATTTCGTCTTCTTCCTTTCTCTTTTTCTTCCTCTTCTTCCTCTTCTTTCTTCCTTTTCTTTCTCGGGCCAGGCCATTGAACCCAATTTGCTGGGTTCAACGGAACCCAGAACCCAGCTCCACTTTTTTTTTTTTTTTATATGATTGTTTGCCAAGAGATTATCCAAATTGCAAGTTGTTGTGAGGTATTTTTGGGCAACTGGATTTTTTTTTTTGTTATATGATTGTTTGCTAAGAGATTATTTAAATTGCAGGTTGTTGCGAGGGATTTTTGGGCAATTGCAGGTTGTTGTGAGGGATTTTTGGGCAATTGAGTTCAATGAATCGAACTGGATTCGATGAAACCTATTTGTTGGGTTACATCGAACCTAGATCTGCTGGGTTCTGTCAAACACCGTTTATGGAAAGAAGAAAAACAGTAACCGATGGGCAAAGAAGCAATTCTTAGTGGTGATGCGGGACCCATTTTGATGGATTTGGCATGATTTTGCCAGGTTAGCATGTGACATGACAGAAATTTTATGCATATCATCACTTTTTTAAGTTTTGCTCTCCACATCATCAAAAAAAATATAAAAAATACCACCTAAGCAGGGTTAATGGCCCAAATTAACAGAAGGATAATGGAATGCATTTTGTATAGTTGAGGGATCAAAAAAGTACAAAAAATTGTTGAGGGACCAAAATGTGCATTTCATAAAGTTAAGGGATCAAATTAAGCATTTAACCTATATTATATATATATGTATGTATAAACAAAACTTTTAGATTAATAAAAATTTTCTTAGTTAGCTGATCAATCCAAAAAAATCATTTAAAATTTTCACAAAAAAGGGAAAATAAACGATTTTTTTTTTTTTTATGGTGAAATTGAAAATAAAAAAGATTGTTGCATAACTCTCTCCATCTATGTAAGACTCTTTGGGTTTGAATATAAAAAGGCAAAACAGGCTGCCAAAAGAAAATATAAAGTAAAAACAAATATGCGAAAATGATATGCCAAAAATCTCCAAAACAGGGACGGGGTTTCATACCAAAATACAAAAAAGAATTAAAATTTAATTACGGGGATTATTAATATAACTAATCAAAGGGGGGTCCACATCCCGACTTACAGCAACAGACAACAGACAACCCGCGGTTTCCTTCTCAATCACACTCCTTTTGATTTGACTTTTCCGCCTTCAAAAACTTCGGAGACAAAGGAAAAGCGACCCCTTAGCTCAAATCTCCCCCCTCTCCCCTCCCCCCTTCTCAATTCACTCATTTCTCAAAAAACCCAGAATCCAACTTACAATTTCTTCACGTCTGCTCTGGAAAGTCTTAATCTTTCTTGAAAAATTCTGAATCTTTTTGCTGGGAAATTTTCAGGGAGGGGATTTTGAGCCATGAGTTGGTTAAGCACGTACGGTTGGGCGGTTGTGTTACTGGTAATAGGATGGAGCTCCGGGATTTGTTATGGGTCCGGGACATTTGGGTTCGATATGCACGACAGGTTTTCGGATCAGGTAAAGGGAATTCTGGGCACTGATAATTTGCCGCCGAAGGGGAGTGTGGAGTACTATAATGCTTGGGCCAACCGCGACCGGATGTTGCACGGCCGTCGGTTAGCGGCGGCCAATGATCAGACGCCGCTTACTTTTCTGGCCGGAAACGACACGTATCGACTCGATTCTCTGGGACAGTATGTCTATGAACTCAATCCT